CCGACCGCGCCACCGCCGGTTAGAAATTTTTTTTTCTTTTGTTTTGTCCTCTAAAAACGATGTGCGTCTTATGGTCAGGTGCGTCTTATGGTGCGAAAAATACGGTACTAAGACCAGTGCCAATTAACTTCATCACTTTCATCACCTTTGTGCCATAAGAGTGTGGATAACACATTTTTACTGGCACAAAATTAAAATTGTTCTGGTCAGGGAGACTTGATAGACAAGCTTTTAAACTGTTAATGCAAAAAGAAGAAGAAGACACTAATAGAGGCAGCAGAAACAGATCCCTGCAGTGGCTCCCAAAAGGGGAGCTTCCAACCCATAAAGGTCTAAAAGTCAGGGCAAAAATTTTGTTAGATGGAAAAGAAATTTATAGTTTCCAATATTTTCTGCCAATTATTTTCAAATGTTGGATGTCACTTTGAGCTTCCAGTTAGGTTTGCACATTCCCCAAAACTCCTCACAGCCATGTTTTGCCTCAATACATAACCACTGGCTGCCCATTTTCAAGGGTTGTTTCCTGCCTTAGCTCTTAGTTCAGTGCATCCAGATTTGTGGTGTCCAATTGAGGTTAGCCAGTGTGCAAGCCAGTCTATTATTTTTTTTAAATTGCACATAGTGAACCCTAGGATTGACACTCTGAGTCCACCAGTGCAACATATTCAGGGCTTAGGTTTGGAGATCTCTTTCCTGCTACCTCCTCAGTGAAGGCATATGAATTGCAAATCGCCTGAAGGGGCCAGATTCCCTCCCCCTTGGAATTTGCAGCAAGTTGTGCATGCAAAGCTTTGGTGCCACAGAGCAAAAATCAGCCTGGGGATTACTAAAGGTAGGTTAAAGGGATAGACTCAATGTGGTTATGAATGGTTTGTATGCGTGTGTGTGTATGCAGCTACTAATACAAAACATGCAATACAAACATTCTGCACAAATTTTCCTCCCACCAGACAGAAATCCAAGGTGTTCAGGACTTGCTGTGCCAACTATTCCCAAATGCGATCTCTTGATAAATACATTCAACTGCTTAATTACAACACAAATGGGGCAAGAAAGAAAACCTTACAATGAGTTTCTGCCCTCCTCTAGTCTTCCCAGTTGTCTTCTGAGGCTTCATGTGAGGGCCAATGGCTCCAGGACTCCTTCCTTCCTTTGCAGCTTTCACAAGCATCTGGGGGAATGGTAGGACTTGGGAAGTCTGTTCCACTCTGGTTGCATGGTGGCTTTTAGTGGATAGCTGGATCAAACCCAATTCCATTGCTCAAATGAATGGAGGGTCTCCTCTGGGTCAATGTGGTCTGCTTCCAAAAGGTCATCTAGGCAGGGCTGAAAGATATGAGAACAAGATCTCCTCCCCCCTTTCTGGTGGACTCTCCCAGGAGAGGCAGACAAAGGCATGGAGAACAGAGGATAAGAAAAGGAGAAGTAGAATTGGGCGGCGGCGGGGAGGGGGGTAGCTTGCAGACACAGTTTGAAAAGGCATTAATACTGCAATTGTTAAAGAAACAGATAAGATGGGGACAACACAGATGAGGACAAAAGAGAGGCTGGATTCTAGTAAGAAAACAACAAAATGAAAGGTCTCACTTCTGAACTGAACATTTGCAACATATTAGAGAGGACTTAAGGACTTGCAACTTGAAAATGCTGGGCAGCTTGATAATGCTGAAAGCTCCACATAATTTTAAAAGCCTAATATTTTAAGGTGTGCATTTTGCCAGGGGCAGGAGTATCACTTTTAACATTTATTCTAAAATAGACCATATTATTTTAGAGATTTAAAAATGTTTTTATGTTCCAGGATTAATTTCATAGTAGTTTCACTGATTAGTGATAGGATAAGGAAAGTAACTTAAGAAGAAAATAATTTCCCTACACAAGCAAACTTGAGCTCATGAATTGTTGTAGCTAGACATACCTCATATTTCAGGAAAAGGATAGACAGATAAAACTCATTTACAACACATACAGTAAATGCAAGAGTGAAACTTTTCCAGCAGATAAACTTAAAACATTCCCTCCTGGTAACTTTGAGCTGTTAAGAGTACAGAGAAAGGGAAAAAACGCCCAACACATTTCTTTTCACCCTGTTTGCTGTCCAAACAAACAAGGTGAGAATATATCTGGAATGAGCTACCCCCAGAGATCAGGGTGATCCCTGATCTCCCTACCTTCCGCCGCGCCCTTAAGACATGGCTATTCCAACTTGCAGGACTGGCCTAGGGGAAAATTTTAATGGGGTCTTAAAGCAATTTTATATTAACTTGACCAAATTACTAATATTTGTTTTTACTTATGTTTTTAAATTGTAGTTTTTGGGGATTAGTGTTTTATCTGGTTGTTAGCCGCCCTGAGTCCATAAGGAGAAGGGCGGGATATAAATTAAATTAATAAATAAATAATAAATAAATAAATATCATTTGGTGGCTTATTTTAAGCAGAATTTCTAGCAGAATTTTAAAATTCTTTTCTCTTTGGATTAGAAACAATTAACAGTTAACCTTTACCCCCACACAAAGACTTTGGCACACATATACACACACTATTTCTATATTTTAATTTCCTTTTAAGTACCTTTATTTAGCCAAATTGGTTTCCCAGCAAAGCCCTGAGCAAAGCCCATTCTTCACAAATTTCTCTTGCTCGCTTCCTTTTCATGCAGGCTAGGACGGGTACTCACCTCTCGTCCCACGCCTTGAGCAAATCTCTAATAGGTAATCTAGACTCGACCCTCGAACTACAGCTTTCCATGTTCCTTTTATGATATGGGATTCAAATTGGCTTAGTCGGTCCTAGTGGCACTGGCCAGCCACTCTTAGAGACACTATCCCTGTTGTCCCACCATCACAAAATTGGCACACAAAAAAAAGATGCCTGGGAGGACTCTGGTTCCCTCACAGAGTACGAGATCCTCCTAAAATGGAACTTCCCGCCGTCACTTTTCAGACCAAAAAGGGCCCTGGGGAGGACCTGCCACCCTTGGCTCAGACAGGTATGGGAGCCTCCTTCCTCTTCACCCGCTGTCAGTTTTCAGACTCAGGAGGAGTCTAGGAAGACCTCTGCTTTGTGCAGTAGTACGGGTCCCTTCTGCAGATGGGCTTTTCTTACAGGGCCTTATCAGCTGGTTGCCCAAATCCAATTCTCTCATTCACTCATTCCATTCCATTTTCACACAGCCTCTCCCTTTTCCCTAACAAAAGGTCCTGCATTCTGGCCAAACCCCCATGCTTTCCAGGGTCTGCCACTTGAACAGATCCTTTCTGTGGTTAGGAAAGGCCAGAGGGAACAACATCCAACTGTGATTGGGGAAAGGGTCTTCTCACTCACATACAGAGACATACACACATTTCTCTCACTCTCCTGGGCTTTAAAGTTAAAATTTAGAGGTACCCACCTTCTTTCCAAATCAGCCCTTGAGCTCAAACCCAAAATACCCTTTACTACCCTGGCTCCACATGGGCAGGGCCTGGGAAACCCATCCACTGACACAAGGGGTCTGCTGCCGGCAAGATGGGGTTTACCAGTCTCAGTCCATTGGAGAAGTTAGCTTGGAGTCCCTTCATGGTTGCCAAATTGTTGAAGGAAAAGTCTTTATCAGTGTTCAGTCCAAGCTGGGAATAAGCAACATGGCTACTGCTTTAGAAAGAAAGTTGTAGCTTATTGAAGAGGAGAGCCAGACAGAAAGATGGCTCTGGAAGAAAAGAGAGACCACATGTAGTAGTGAGTGGGTTTTATACCCTCTTGGGCTTTTATTTGGAGTTGTTTCCTGTTCCTGTTTGAGGCTTTGTATTTCCTGTGTCATGTACTTTGACCTTAGTCTGAGTGTGCCCCTTTGGCATTGTGGGTTAATCCTATTATATCCTGTCCTAGAGTTTGCGTGGGGTATGTAGATTTTAGGTGTCTTTTTCTTCCTAAACTTCTAGCTGGAGGGCTCCAACCTTACTGAATGGATTATTTACATCTGCATTTCTATAGAACTGGTTTCTGCTTGGGGGAGGGAGACTTGGGGCTATTAAGAAAAACTGGGCATGTTTTTCTGCCTCTTTAAGATCCTTTGAGGAAATATAATATTCTGCCCTTTTAATATTTCCTTCTTGGGGGGGCTGACTTCCCACACAACAATAAGGCTTTTCTTTTTAACTAATCCAGTACTTTGCTCTTGTCTCTTTCCAAATGTCTATGAATTTCCCAAATCACTCCATATGCATTTGGAACCATCTAAATAGTCCTGATCCTGTTGAGTTTCTAAGACCAGATAAGTCCAGAAGGTGCTGCCAGAAGTGGTTTACAAAATATAATTTTTTTTAGAATAGAATACAGCTGAAAGGGACTTTGGAGGTCTTCAGTCCAGCCCCCCACTTAAGCAGGAGAACGTATACCATCTCAGACAAGAAGACAGTCTCTTCTTAAAAGCCTCCATTGATGAAGCACCCACGATTTCTAAGACAAGCTGTTCCACTGGTTAATTGTCCTCACTGTTAGGAAGTTTCTCCTTAATTCCAGGTTGCTTCTCTCTTTGATCAGTTTCCAACCATTGTTTTTTGTCCTACCTTCTGGTGCTTTGGAGAATAATTTGACTCCCTTTTCTTTTGGCAGCCCCTCAAATACTGGAATACTGCTGTCATGTCACCCGTTTCTTCTTTTCTTTAGACTAGCCAAAGTCCTGCAGCCGTTTTATATCCATCTTGTTTAAAATTAAATGGAAACTGTCATTAGATCTTGAATTTCTTAACATGTTTGTTTGGAGGCCCAAATAATTGTTCAATAACATTATATTATTACTCAAAAGAGTCATAAACAAAGGACAATTATTTCCAATTTCTAATTATGTTTATTCAAATAGAATCCAAGTATTTGTATAAGTTTATATGTAAAGAATGAAGCAGAACAAAATACAAATGGGTGTTTAAAACTATCAGTACAATCCAATATTCTGAAAAATAATTTCAGTGTCAGTATTCAACATTCATTACATATAAAATGCCAACATTCATTACATAGAAAATGAAAATAACTAGCTTTTACTTGGAAAAAGATACAAAAATAAAAAGTCAGTAGTGTAAAGTTCAAGCTGGTCTCATTTTTGTGTTCCCCTATACTGTTTTCAGTAGTTCAATTCAAAGTATAGCTTATATTAACAGTGTCTTATGACTGTAGGGATACTCATCAGCTCTCAAGCAACAGGTGTGGCTTTAGAAGAGACTAGGTGAGTCTTAGTAATAGTTGGTTTATGAGATAACCATTGAAGCCTATTATAGTTGGTTAGTAGATTACTACTGGAGCCTGCTTCCTAAGCTGTATAATAGTTCCCTGCATACAGTGCTGTTTGGAAGTAGCAACAGAATTGTGACAATTCTGTGAAGTACCAGCTTTTACTCAATTTCTGTTTGTATCAATTCTGGCTGGGATGTTTCTGAATCTGCAAATGAAAATGAGAAGAAAGTTAGGAATCTCAGCAAGACACAGTATTTCTGCTTTACAAAAGAAAAAAAAGTATATAGAGGAGGGAAGGGAAACAGAAGGGCTTCACTATTTTAAAATGAATAATAAAAACTGGGATATCACTTCTTTAAACAAGACAATGACTGCCAATTTTTATTTTACTTGGCAATATTGAAGATTGTAAATAATATTAAATTTGACTTGCCATGAGTTCTTGAAATATTATATAAAATATTGCACATGAAAAGATTTTGAATAACTATGATTCAATACAAATTAAACATATTAATTTCATTCCCAAAATATTCAAAGTGCTTTTACAAAATATGTAGGATTTTAAAACAGATTAAACTTGGAATTTCATGGACATATGAAATGTAAAAGCACTTACTACAATTCATTTACTATTTACTACTGGAAAACATATAAACTAATATCAACTGAAAGACTGAGCTTTTTAAAAAGTAGATGCAGATATATTTTTCTGCATTATTAAGTCTATCAATAATTACCTGACATAACTGTCCCTTCTGGCAACTACTGCTGTTAGTAGTATAGTCAATGGCACCTAGCCTTAAAATATCCTCAGATCCATCCATTAATAAAAGATGGATTATGAATATATTTGAAGTTCAGAATATGTGGGAGACAAAAATCAAGAAGCCAAGCAATCCCAGTTTTGAAACATTGATTACACTATATGACACATGGGAAAACGTTTATTTAAAGATACTACAGAACATGGGGGCTTTCTAGACAAAATTTTGATTTCAGATATTTATTTTAAATAACTGCAACTGCAGATACGGCCCTGTAATCTCAGGAGATTATTTTTTCCCATTTTTAGTGCATCATTTAATATTAACCATGAGTGTTTTATAGCTCATGCCACAACCACACCAAATTTTAAGAGGGCCACTAATAGGTACAATACTTCTCTAAACTGGTTTACAACTCTGAAATGCTTTTCCTTGACAGAATAATCAACATTGCTTTTAAGTATTTTTTGCTTGTAAAATATGATGGTTTGGGCTACTTTAAATGCCTGTGAAAATGGAAATTATTTTTGGAAATGTTCAGCTATATTTTTCAGAAAGAAGATATTGTTAGGTTATTTTCTTTTTATCATGTTTTGATGTACTATTGTGTCTGTCAAGACACCTAACTATAGAATATAAATTAATTATTTACATAAATGTCTTAATGAGAAAAACATCTAGGTGAATTTTCTAATTAACTTTCTAATATTATGAACATATGACATTTCTCGGACTTGGTTTACTTAAAATAATGTAAATACAGCCTTCACTTACTTACTATTAAGTATTAAAGACCTATTTAGCCAGAAATTATTTCTTTTTTTTTTTGTCCATCCATCTTTGCTAAAAAAAATCATACTGAATTCAGTGGGAAGTGTGCAGTCTTGCAATTTGAGGAGGCAGATATGAAAAAAGAGTTATTTTTAGGCACTTAGTTTCATTCTCCAAGGAAGAAGCTGGAACGTACAGGCAGTTCTTGACTTATGACCATAATTGAACCCAACATTTCTGCTGTTAAGCAAGACAGTTAAGTGGTTTTGCCCCATTTTACAACCCTTCTTGCCACAGTTGTTTAGTGAATCATTAATTAGTAACACGGTTGTAAAATGAATCTGGCTTTACCATTGAATTTGCTTGTCAAAAGGTTGAGAAAGCTGATCATATGGCCCTGGGACACAGCAACCTTCATAAATATGAACCAGTTGCCAAGCATCCAAATTTTGATCACCTGACCATGGGAATGCTGCAGTCGTAAGTATGAAAAACGGTCATAAATCACTTTTTTCAGTGCTGTTATGACTTCGAACAATCACTAAACAAATGGTTATAAGCCAAAGACTACCTATAGTTATAAAAACAAGAGTTGTTCTGACATATAAGAGTTTAATATTTAAGTCTAATTTCCTTTCAAAAACATTCCATTTTATTTCCAGTATATCATTAATTCATTGGATGCAGGGTTTTTAAATAATCATTTTAATCAGTAATTTCTTTTTCTTTTACAACAGAATACAAATACAGCCCATGGAGTTATTGTATAGGTCTATGTCTGTGCCATTCTTTACAGATACCTCATAAATAAAAAGAATGAACTTCCCTATCATAAGAATTAAATTCTATTTTGAATGTGATGAATGTTAGTTGGTTTAGAACCAACTCTGTATTTTTTACTGTTACAAAAAAGAACCATTATTATTTCCTAATAAAGGGCCTACATGAAATGTGCACAAGGGCAACATTAGTATAAGTTGTAGAAATTTCATTTTGCATGCTGCATAACTAACAGCTATTTTGCATTAAACTCATGCATTTTAAAAATTAGTCTGCAAAAACGTTCAGGAAAAGTAAACAAGAGCCTTCATATATACTAACCTCCGATTTATTCTGTTTTGAACTGAAGTTATCATGCATAAAGTTACATGCAAAATTACTATTTATTTATTTTTTGTCAACTCAAGGTCTAGTTTTGTCAACAAGGCCCAATTATTTCCCATTATAAGAAGAAACTTTACTGAATATTCTTGTACTTTCAGAAGTGCATTCAGGGGAGGAATGCATCATTCAATATTTGATTAATATTAAAAATATTTGTATTAACCATCTGCCTAAAAGTACTTTTCCCAATTATTAAATTCTCTTCTAATAGAAAAAAAATAACAGCAAAATAGAATTCTTGTATTTGGCTATGTCAGAAATGGGCTGTTGGGATATGATCTTGGGTGGCATACATTCTGAGCTTGAAGAGTGACTTCTTAGGCTGGGCACCCATTTCAAGTCCAGATTGAGATTGAGATTTTCTTTTGTATGACAATGTATGTTTCCTAGCTTTCTGCCTCTTTTCTATTTTCTTCTGATACTCACTTGGAGGAAGAAAAGAATCTGCAAGAAATAATGGAAAAGGAATTCTTTACTTAAAATGCATTCTGAATATAAAGAGATGGGAAATCTATGATCCTCCAAAAGCTGTTGAATTGCAATCTTGTCCCATGGATAATATAAATTCTGTTCTGTTTCTAAGTTAGAATTCAGCCAATATGTTTTAACAATTGTCCAAAGCGCTTGCTTAAAGTAAAGTGACTACAAAAGATGTTCAGATCTATATTAAACATTTAAATGTAATATGAATTTACTTCTATAAAAACAATTAAGATTATGCATTCAAAACTGCACTTTGCAAAACTTACAAAGGACTACTTAAGCATCTGTGCCTGAATTCACTAAACAATTATCTGTGTGTAGTAAATGTGTGTGCACATATAATAGACTTTATCCATAGTCACTCATTCTCTAGTCGCTTTGATTATGCTATTATAATGCATTCTACATGGGGCTGATTTTGAAGTGCATTTGGAAAGTACATCTGATTCAGAATACAATGGCTCAAGTAGTTATGGACATCCCTTGTTGCACCATTGTAACACATTATTTTTGGAGCTGTACTGACTATTGATTGTACATTAAATGTAATTCTAGATAGTGGTTACCACTGTCAAAGCCCTATATCAGGGGTGTCAAACTCGCAATGTCATGTGACGTGTCACGACATATCGTGACTTTTTTTCCATTGCCGGCAATGGGGTGGGTACAGTTTCACCATGACGCATCCGGCCCGCAGGCCGGCAGTTTGACACCCCTGGCCTATATGGTTCATGGCTTGGATATTTATAGAATTATCTTCTTCCAAAACATCTGTTCACCCAATATTGTCAAACAAGACAAACTCTCTCCATGTCCTTTGCTCAGGTAATGCCATCTACAGATGCTACCATAGTATGCCTTCTCTATTGTTCATCCACTTGTTTGGAACAGCAGTCTCTCAGACCTTCAAATGGCCCATTCCCTGTTGGTGTTTAAAAAGGATCTTATTTGTCCCTAAAAAAAATGGATATAGTTTCAGTGGTGAGGGTATATAAAGTATGGTCTACAATTATCCGTAGGGTCTTATACTGTGATTTTATGGCTTTAATTTGTTAACTATATCATATTTTGTTTTAATCTGAGATATGGAAAGGGAACCAAATACTATTTCTTCTATGTAGTTGGAGTGGACTATAAACTGCATAAAATAAACCAACAAACAAGTATGTGCAGACAGCTGCAAGAGCTTTCCATAGAGTGTGACAGTTTTATTGCTTGTACGAAAGGTATTGGGCATGCACCAACATGCCTTATGAAATATCATCTTTAATGCTTTCCAAAATCTTAAAAGCTGCTACTTTTCTGAACATTTCTTCAGATATATTTAAGTATTAATTATATTATAAAATGAATGTTCCACCAGAATATAATCTACAGACATATTATGCCATAATTTTAAATATTTTAAAGTAGAATTTGATAATGGCAGTTGCCGCAAAACAATGCTTATGATTTCTTCTTTACAATGAAGATGTTCTGTTGTCCTTATAATCAGGATAGAACTGAATGCTTTACTCTTTGAAAGCATATTTCATTGAAAAGAATTGGACTTCCTTAAAAAACAGTTAATGGAATCACACATCATACTAAGTTTTGTTTAACTATGGATTGCTGAATAAGCGATAATTGACAGAATTTACAAAAGGTAAACTGTAAACCATAATTCATATAAATAATGGCTGAGTTTATAAAATATTAAGTTTTTTAAAAAAGAAAATACAGCTACCATATTGTGATGTGTGAATTCAAGTCTGATAAGTTGCAGAATGTGAATAAATATACTTTATTTAGTTATGACCCACAAGTATTTAAAACAGGCTTGTACATTAGAACAGGGATTATTAAGCAAACGTTTAAGCATTAAAAATGATGTAGTATTTTAAAAATTTTTTTAACACATTACCATTAGGCTCAGTATTTTTTTTCTCCCACTGATCACGTTCCTGAAGCCATTCATCACCATAACCACTGCTAATCAGTTTGCTGAAGTTTATAGGTTCATTTTTTTTATGAGCAGGCCTTCATAGAAAATAAGAAATAATTAAATGTTAAATTAAAACTAGGTCTAATAAATTTGTCATAGTAATAATTATGAGCAAACACTAATTGTATATAATTTCAAAAACAAAGCAAAAAGAAAAATTGAATACCTATTTCCCTATTATGGATAACAATAACAGTAAATAATTTGAGAAAACATTCCATTATTGAAGGCCCAATAATTAGCGGAACTGAAAAATAAAAAGTCAAATTATTTCACAGAAGTTTTCCCAAGTAGGTAAATTCAGCAACAGATGTATCATTATGTGTAAACATCTATTTTGTGGTTTGTATGTACATTCTCTTTGTAACATGCAGATTATTACAACTCATGTTTTATTCTTTCCTTTAGTTGTTTAATTATCAGTTATTCTGTGAAATTTATTTCTAAAATTGTATCAAAAATTCTTCTAATCCAAAGATATGTAATTAGCAGCACAGTTCTTTGGACAAATGACAAAAACCAATACTTGTACACATCCTGTTATTGTATATATTGTTGATTACACCATCCCTTTCAGTAGTGAAGAGGAAAAAAACTGTTAAAAGTTCAGAGAACCCAGCTACAATTAATGTAAGTAAGGATAGTCCTTGACTTATCACCATGATGGAGCCTGCCCATTACGATCATAAGTTGTGACAGTTATAAAAGGATCATCATGTAACTGACCCAATTTTACAGACCTTTTTTGTGGCAGTCATTAAGCAAATTACTATAATTGTTAAGTGAACCCATGGTTGTTAAGCGAACTCACTTTGCTATGGGGCATTTTTGCTGAAAACCAAAAATAAATGCTGGCTTTCACCAAAAAGCCAGAAATTGCAGTCATGTAACTGCAGGACACTGCAAACAGCCATAAATGCAGATGGGTTGCCAAGTGCCTGCAATGTAAAAATGTGATCACACCTCTCCCAGCCATCATAACTTTGGAACTAGGCTGCAAGTGCCTTTTTTTGGGGGGGGGGGGGTTCCCACTTCAATGTCAGATGCTAAGTGACCAGTTGTAATAATCTGCACAGTCAAACTCCTCAAAATAGCAACAGTCAGATTTTTATGTATATTGATTTTGTCATTTTTGTTTAACATAATTAATATCCACAAGTATCAAAAATAAACTAATGTACTCATGAAATATGAATGGATGTTTTAAATATTGTTTTAAAATATGCAATACTGAAAAATTAGGGAAGCAAATTAAAGCATAGCAGGCACTAACATTCCACATCTGATCAACCATATATGCCCAGGGAATCCTCAGTTAATATTCACTCATTCAGCGGCAAGTTAGTAGTAGCAGAATCATACAGTTATAAATCTGAATCAGGAAGGCTGCAAGGGAATATCTATTTGCACCAACTCTGTGAAATTACTGTGAGGGCAAACTCACATCCGTAGTTTGAAAGCAGCAATAATTCATCTTTGATATTACCAATATTACCAAGAATATTCTATCCTTGATAAGTGCTTGTGTGATTGCAGTTTTATTTTAGAATGTCTGGCTTTGCTCAGTGCAACACTTGTTTTGCAGTTGTCTTTCGTTTTACTCTTTTTAAATTTGGATACTATCCTATTTTAAGCTGACTACTAGTTTACATGGACAGATTACTTATCTAAAGTTTTTAGTCTGTACTCTTTAGGCTGAAATTAAGTGTCTGACTCAACCTGTGTGTTCTTTTGAGTTGCCTCGCTATCAGCCCTCTCTATCACAAAGACCTTGCAGGAGAAGAGCAGTATGGACAACTGTTGGATCTGGCAGAGTGAGACCTGTGGACCATAAACACAAAGCTGTTGATGTGTCTCTGCCTAATAGATACAGGGCTCTTGCTGAACTTAATGCCACTAAGGTGGCAGGTTCAGCTGTTTGTGATGAAGATGATGACTCAACTGAGCATAGCACTGTGGTCTGTGAGGAAGATGTTTTGCATCATGGAAGGTATGAATCAGGTATTGCAAAGTCATGTGAGGTGAGCAAGGAATCTAGAAAGAGAAGCCACTTTCTGGTTGGTGACTCAATAGTAAGAAGTATCAATTTAGGAAAGGATGTAGAGGTTTTGAACAAGGTGAGGTGTTTGCCTGATCCTACTGACAGCAGAGAAAAGAGACACATTGTCAAAAATGCTAGTAAGGATTCTGATATTGATGTTGTTGTGCATCTTAGCACTAATAATTTATCCAAAAGATTTCTAAAACCTGTGGCAGGAACTTAGCAGGATAGGTTGTAGTCTTACTTTTTCAGAGGTATTGTCAGAATCCAGTTATATTTCATTTCTATCTATCTTCTCTGATATAAAACCAATTCTTACTCTCTCCTGGATTCTGTCATACTACTAAGGGGGAGGGGGGTATGCATGGGGGTTTTATTACTTTCACTTTCTCTATTCACTACAAAGTAACCTTTTGTTGATTTGCTTTGGATCAGCTAACCATAACAATGTAGCCATTTGCCTTTCATCCTATGCTCCTCTGAACTTCTCCTCCTTTACCTGCCAGCGAGAGAAAGGGGGGGGGGGGAAAGATGGAGCATCTGGGATCTGTGTGAGGAGATGTTGAATAAGTGAGCCAACGGAGCCAGACTGATGTTATCTCTCCTGGAGTTGACACCTAGAAATCTGCCGGTTTCAATCACCCGAAAGAACTGCGGGGGGGGGGGCTGCTTAGGGACATTTTAAAACATCGAATTGTAAGGGAATCCCTCAGATCCTGTCTGTCATGCCTGCTATCAGTTTCTTTTAATAAAAGTTCCTGTTGGAAGAGACCGTTTCCAAGAGTTCTGCTTTCTTAAGATGTGGATTGAAGTGGGTCCTTACAGGTATTATCTACATATAAGGAGCAAAATGGAAAAGACGTTCAATATGTGGCTAAAAGAGTGGTGTCAGGTCCCCAAATCCTTATTGTTTTTCCTATATATGTGCTCTTGTTTGGGGCCTGCCCTTCTATTCAGAGGAGTAGGATTTGCTTTTCTTTGGGATAACTTTCGCTTTCTACTTTTCCTCTCCAGCCCCTATCCACTTGAGAAAAGAATGTGTCTCCCTTATCAGGGAGACAGCTATGGAGAAATGAAACTGGAGAAGACCTTGAGATGCGCACCAACTGTGCCAGTTACCCAAACATCATGCCACCTGTGGATTGGGTAGATTTCAAATGGACACTATGACTTTGGTGGAAGGAGGCTAGTTTAACTATACTGTTTAAGCGGGATTTTCCCCAGATCTCGCCTTGACTTCCCTACTGTCACTAACCTGTAATAAAAGTTCCTTTTGAGACAATACCTGTTTCAAGAGTTCTGCTTTCTTGGGTGGTTAGCTGAGGTGGGTCCTTACATAAGGCAAGATCTGCATAGTACTCAACCTGGAGAGGCTGCTGCTCTGCCGGGGGAGTCCCAACTGAATTCCACATGGAGGAGTTCCAGGCAGAGAAAAGGCCCAAAGATCTCCTCTGTTTGAAACCCAATGAAAGCCTCTCCAGGGATCTGGAAGAAGCTGAGCCTTCTGGTGAAGAAGATCAAATCAAATGGTCACTCAGGGTCGGGAAAAAAAGAAGGATGGAAAGAAAAAGTCCCGAAGATCACCCTTACTCAAGGTGGAGGGAAGAAAAAGATGAAGAAGAAAAATCCAGATCCTGCCTGTCCTGATAGAGAAAAGGGAGAATTGAAATCGGAAACGATGGAAGAGGTGATGGAGTATGTGAAAAAAAACCTTGACGAATTCAAGGTGCAGCTGAAAGAATGCCCTGAATCGGAGAGCGAGTCAGAGGAAGAGGAATCGGAAATCCAAGAACTGGCAGTGGCTGGAGCCCAGGAGGCAGCACCATGGCAAGGCCATCCATCTCAAGGAATCAAAGGCAGACCACTTAAACCAGCCGAGGTGAAACCGATTCCGATTGGAGTGAAGTTTGATAGAGATCTGAAACAATTGGGGTATTTCCTGGCATCACCTACATGCAAATCTATGGGAGAACACTGCCTACCGATGTAGAAAATGTCCAGGTAATTACCCTACCTTTGGAAGGTGGAGTAGCTGACTGGATGGTAACCCTATTGTATAATGCCTGTGTAGCTCGGGGAGCCCTGGGACTGCTATACGATTGGTGCCTGCTAGCTGAGGAAGTAGAGATAGATCAACACAAGAACCTACACCGCCCAGTGAACCAAGCTTCAGATTGCAGTCAGAGAAGCGAGGGGAGACCGCTTGAGTTTCACCTGCCCCACCTCGCACCACTGCCTGCTTCAAATGTGGTAAAGGAGAACATCGTGCCATGGATTGCCACAGCAAGACACCTGCCAAGAAAAAGGTTTGTCAACCAGCTGGAAGACCTCCAAGAGCCTCACTGCACCCCAGGGAGACTGCAATGAGATCCGATGAAGTTGTAGAGCTCCCCCGTGGCTGTGACCAAGAGGATTGAGCTCCGACTCCATGCTACGATGACCCAGAAGAGACGGAAAGTGGCTATGAAAATGACCCATTGGTGAGTGGGCCAATTGACCCCATAACAGTGCCCCTAGAACTTTCCATACCCGGCACTGGGAGAACAGTAAAATTAGGTGCCTTGCTGGACTCAGCACCCGATGCATGATGAGCCCAGAATTAGTGGGAAAAATGGGGATACCCCACAAGAGGCTAAAAACTCCAATTACCTTTTGCCAATTGCTCGGTTGCAGGGGAAATGCCTACCAGTTTTGCCACCAGACCTTTACAGATTGACCTGGGGGACCACGCAGAGACTCTAGCATTTGTGGCCCCAGGAATGGAGTGGCCACTAGTTTTGGGACTGGCTTGGCTAAAGAAGTGGAACCCCATGATCAACTGGAGGAAAGGACGGCTAAAATTCCCACAGGGGGAAGCCCTGCCCATCTCTAAAGAAAACGGCGAGAGATGTGGATTACACCACGATTTTGCCTCCATCCTTAGTGAGTCAGACTTGCAAACCCTCCCAATGGAATACCGAGATTTGGCCGAGGCATTCAGTGAACAGAGAGCAG